CTAGTTCTTAAACTTTGGTCAACAGCATAAATATTTTTACTTACATATTCATAACTGCTGACTGAATATGTTTATCAAGAATTGAATTTAACAAATTTTTTAAATATATACGGAAATTGTATTGGTTGTAAATCAAATATATAAATTGTGGAAGTGTTTATGTGAGTTTGTGCCTACATGCAGCCCAAATTATACCCTTGATACGATTTGTATTAGGAAGGGAAGGATATCCCTCCCCAAAGAATATACCCATTGATTATAGAATATTAGTTGGGAGGTGGTTAGTTAGTTAGGTAGGTTGGTGTTGTTTGTATAAAAGGGGCATAGTTCCCACTATTAGGTACTTTCTGGCCGAATTAGTAAGTGACTTTAGTGTGAAGGGAATTCTCCCTTATGAAGAACATAGCTCTTGTGTTTTCTTTTTACATAATCAATAAAGTTCTCCTTTTCATCTTGAATCTTTACCCTACTCCCCATTCAATTTCCATTTTCTCAAATCCTGAGCCGTAACAACCCTCCAGGAAGACAGAAAATGGGACTAAATAAGTTTTTGATTTGATGAATATTTTGCAAAGCAATAGACTGGCTGTGTGAAAGTGTTAAAAGTTTGTGTGATATACTAAAGTGTTAAAAGTTTAAAACCATGTCCTTTTTGTTTTTTGATCCTAGATGTTTTAAAAAGGTATCTGAGTACTCCTGATTATGTCAAGATTTTGTGACCTGTTACTGGACAAGCAAACTTCATTATTTGTATGAACAGGTGTTTTAGTTAATAATAGATTGAGTTGATGTTTCAGATTTAACCTTGTAGGAATCAATTCTCTATGAATTTGAGTTTAGTTATTGTTTTTTTGTGCTTTACTTTCTTTCAATCATTTTCGAGTTCTCCTGTAAATTGTAATATTTCAAAAATATTTTTCTGTTATTATGTTTGTTTTCTATTTGGCGGATAGATTATTAGACTGAGTACTTATTTCACGTGAAAATCATTTCTTCATGCGTGTGTCGGTTGGTTTTAGGGTGCAACCATCTTTTTCTGTTACTGTCCTAAGATGCTTCTAGAGTTCCTAAGTATTTCATTGTCCAGTTTGTTGTGCTGGTATTTTCTTTTAATAGTCATTGTTAATAGATATTGAAGATTTCTTCTTTTGGATGCATCATTAATGTCAGGAGAGGATAATCCAAATGCTTGATGTAAGAATTTGACCCCATTTATGATTTGTCTGAAGAGTGTGCAGGTGCCCATTTCAGCAGCTGGGACAGCCTAGTTCTTGATAATGGGGACAACATCTCTTGGGTGCACTTCCATTTATATTTTTCATGGAGCTTATCTGCACCAAGCTACCTACCGCTTCCCTAAATTATTCGGGTGCACTTCCATTTAAAATTTTGGTTGAGGCATTGAATTCCTGTACTTAAATGTTTACCTCAATATTGTACATTGAACCTTTGCCTTTTCTTTATGTATTTTTTTTTTTAAGAAAAAAAATAAAGACATGTTCATGTTATTACCCATGTTTAGGGCCTCTTATTTTTTTTACCTGGTGTTTTAACATAATCGTGTCATGTAAAAAATCTCAGTTATTTATTTATAGATTAATAGTAAGCAATTAAAATGATTTTTTTATTTTACCAACTTTATCATTAAAAATGTGACCATTGATTTGTCAATAAATGACTAGATTTTATTACATTATATGACCACAAGACATGAGATGATTCATTCTATTTTGTACTTAATACACTTTAGTTGGTTAGTGAATCTTAGAGGGATGGGGTGTTCTTTTTTTGCGGTGGTTTATTGTATTAACACTTAAAAGACATAGTCTTAATTAACCATGCCAAACTATAAAAATAAGTCATGGCAGGCATAGTATAACAGGAAATGCTATAGACAAGAGACATGTCTTATCATCCCATCACACCAACTTGAAGATAGGGCTTAAGTTGAGTGCATACCAGCCCATGTTTCTCTTAATTTTCTTAATTTACAGGACCCACAAGCCAAACATCCCTTGATCCTGTCCTTGGCTTCAATCCTAGTTATTCTGTTTAAAATTAGTTGTTGTATGGTCCTTTTCTACAATCAAGGTTAGTGTTTGTCTTCTATGCTTGATTCCAAGCTTAGTCCCTGAACTTTAGGTCCACAGAGTGATTGACATGATTTTTTACCACATTCATACGGTTAGTGTTTCTTTTCTTCTTCTTTTTTCCATTTTTTTTTTGTTTTTTTTTTTTTTTGTGGGGGGTGGGCCATGGGGTGATACTTGTCCTTTTGGAAACTGATATTGGTAGTTTTGACCAAATGACCCTTTATGCTGTGTCTGCATGTAACTTGCACCCAAGCTTTTCTCATGGCTGTCTGGGGATCCCAGATATGAAGCATTGGGATGATCACCTTGGGATATCCCTTTTTTTTTCCTTTTTTTCTTTTCGGTTCGTTGCAAATTTTACTTTTTCCATGCTGATGTTCACGTGTTTATGTTGCTTGCTAGTACAATTTGCACTAAAATACTTTTGTCAGGGTTGATGGGGGGTCGCAAATCCACGTGAAATTGAGCTTGAGATGTGGGTGTTGTGCCGAGGATCACAAAACTGATATGTTCTGTTCCTTTTTCTAAATTATGATTATTATGATTGTGCCCTCTTTTAACCAAATAAGCACTTTGAAATGCAATTACCTCATTTGTTTGCTTCAATAAAATAATATAGTATTGAAATTGATACAATCACACACACATACGATTCCGATCGAAAAGAGAGAAAAGGAAGAAAAGTGAGACGATGATTTATTCTGGTTAATCTACTTCCAACAATATATATTATATTCTTCTATCCATACTGGTTACGTCATTCAATTTACAAGGGGAATATAAATAGAATTAAAAATCCTAAACAACGGTAGCTGTTTATGGGCTTGAATCTAAACTACTAAGAATTCAGAGTCTGAATACAGAGCCTCACACCCTTGCTCGGGACGGCTCCCCTCCACCCCCCTCCAAGCGGGCTCACCGTTGATGTTCTCTGCAATACACCAACAAAAATTAAATATGAATTACAAGTCATACCCAAATAGATAAATAGATAGCACCTTTCTTGAACTCAACCATAAACCATTATGGCATTTGGTTAATATGGCTTCTTTTATCTACCCTTCTAATTATGGTTGATATAGTGTATGAAGATTCACATTGAAGAGAGGAATCTATATTAATTTGTTTGAGAAGTCTCTACTCTTCAGTCTCACATGCAGGTTATGATGATGATGATGCTGATTGTTTTGTATGTAGGAAGCAAAAAGCGGTCCTCGGTTTTATAATTCCAGCTGTCTTTATCGAAATGGGTTAAAATCTTCTTATTACTATTAAGCTGCTGCTAAATCTACAAGCTGTCGCCAAAAGAGAAAAGAAGAAAAACAGCTCAATTAGTCAATTTAGAAAAATCTCCCCTCTAAATTCCATTAACATGGACAAACAAACAGGGACGTTTCATTGATATTGAACCAGTTGTGGTCTAGAATTCTAGGCCATTGCTATCTGTGGTCCTCGTTAACTAAGAGCAGAGATAAAAGCAGAAATGTTTTATGTGTGTGTAGTGTGTAAGGTCATCCTTTCATGCCACCAAAAAAATTACTCATTCCTGCATTTTGGTTTCAAAATATTGAATTTTCTTTCGTTATAATTGTAACAAATGGGGGAAATACCCGTTTCTAGTTTCTCCTATATTTGTGAAGTAGGTTACACTAACGTTTTATGGGACAGACAATATAAAATAACCTAGGGCATTTGGTGGAAGAAATTTTTTTTTCTTCTGGAAATTAAAAAAATTCAATTTCTCGATAATCCAGAAGAATGGCGGGTACTAAACGCCCCCTAGGTGTATACCAAATGGGAATGGATTCTCTATGTTATAATTTTTATGTCTATCACTTTTTTCATTAATAATAATTGAGCTCCATCTATTGAATGCTTTTGAAAAGAGAGATAAATACAAAAATTTCAGTGTCATGATGAATTTTTAACATTAAAAAAATCCACTCCGATACCAAATATACCCCCTGTTCAGTTTCTATAATATGGAGTTTGAAATAAATGCATACTATTTCAACCCAATGGGTGCAGCTCAGTTGGTAACTTGGCGCTGAGTTAGTGAGGTTGGACATGTGTTCGATTCCTGCTGAATGCATTCTTGGGGAGGGGGTTGAACCTTTAGCCTGCTCCTCCGCACTCCGGATTAGTCCCATAGCCGGCTCAAAGAGTCGAAGCTCGTGGGGATACCGGAGGGAGCCAACTCGCCCCAAAGAAGTAATTAGGGTTGGGTAACTCCAAAAAAAAAAAATGCATACTATTTGATTTAGTGGCCATTTTTGTTTTTGTTTTTGTTTTTTTCTTTTTTATATGAAAATAGTAACTTCAAATGTAATCACAATCCACAAAAAAAGCCAACAGCAATTTCTCCCATGGCTCTTCTCAAATTTCAAAAAATTTGTGTAAGCAGTCTTATTATATTAAAGAGAAAGTAGTATACTATAAGTATCGCGTACGATACTAACAATTATAACATGCACGTGTTCGGAAACAAGATATTCAAATATCAACAGTTTTTTTTTTTTCTTCTTGTAAATTTATCAATTCTTATGTTATGTAACACTCTCCCCACACAGTGTACCAAATAGCAGAAAGAGAGAGGATACTAAATTACTAATATAACAAGACCATGCATCTCATGGGTTCATTCATTCATGAGTTGTAGAACAAATGCTAAAATCATAATAATAAATAAATAAATAAATAAAAAAGACCAAATTATGTACCGAAAAAGAAACATAACGAATTCTCAATGACAAAAAATGACGTGAGATCCATTTGTTCATGGTTACTGGCCCAAGCGAAAATAAAGCAAGTAAAATCTCTCTCTCTCTCTCTCTCTCTCTCTCTCTCAATTAATCATATTTGTAGCACCTAAGTAATAGCCAGCAGAGAAAAACAAAAGAAACTCTCTTTTACTATATAACCTTCTTTCTCTTTCCATTGCCATAAAGTTTCTCATCTTCTGGAAAGAGAAAAAGAAGGGAGGGAGGGAAGAGTGAAGATCTGAATCAATTCAGTTTGAGAATTCACAAAAGAAGAAAACATCAACAACAACAACAACACAGATAGATAGATAGAGAGAGAGAGTGTGTGTGTTGTGTGGTGTTTGTGATATGGGTGGGGTAACTTCATCCATGGCAGCGAAATTCGCGTTCTTCCCACCAAACCCACCATCGTACAAGCTTGTCACTGACGAACTCACTGGCCTTCTTCTCCTCACTCCTTTCCCTCACCGCGAGAACGTTGAAATTCTCAAGCTTCCAACACGCCGTGGCACTGAGATTGTGGCACTCTACATTCGGCACCCAATGGCCACTTCCACAGTGCTCTACTCTCATGGAAACGCTGCTGATCTAGGCCAGATGTATGAGCTCTTCATCGAGCTCAGCATCCACTTGCGCGTTAACCTCATGGGGTGCTCTGTTTTTTCACTAAACTCTTTTTTTTCTCTAACACTGCTTTTTTCATTTTTTGGTCGCAATTTGGAATTTTGATGCTTTGTTCTCAATCTTGTGTTTGTTTTGCTTTCTGGGTTTCTGTAAATTTGGCTACTTTTTTGTTTTTGGATTCTGGGCTTTCATCTGCTTGGAGGTAGGACTCATGGGTGATTTGGAATCTTGGGAAAATGGGTACTCTGTGTTTGTGAGTTGGGATTTTAAGGTGAACTCAGAATTGGGGTTGCTTTGGTTTTGTTTTTGGTATTCTGTTATGAGTAATATATATTTGATTTTTCAAAACTAGCACTTAATTGGTAGGTATGCAATTTGTGATCAATTGGAGTTGTCTGTGAATGAATTGTGTTATCTGATTCCATGGACGTAGGATTGATGTTGTTTTCAGGGTTTGTAATGCTATCAATACTGGTTAATCTTTCCAGCTCATGATTCCATTGCATATGTAGAAATCTGCCCTAGTGTGAAGAGTTTATAATTGCAGTCATCTTTACTACCGTAGCTCTGTTGATATGTGCATCTACAATTGTGTCTGCACTTCAAGTTCATGATCATGACATTAGAGCAACACAAGCGGGATAATTTATTATTACTTGGTGAAATTGATCTAATTCGTTGATACTACTATCCTTTATAGAGGAAATTTCTGGAAGTATACATACTTCACCTGTAGAGCATTTACTTAGAGTACATTATTCACTGATCTCAACATGAAAGATGGAGTGCAAAATGGTAGTTTTTCTAATGCTTATCTATAGTTTTGTGCAGGTATGACTATTCTGGGTACGGGCAGTCATCAGGGAAGGTTTGTATTTTGTTAACAAATGCTTGTTCATTTTGCATCCGGCATAAGTTTGAATGGTGGTAGAGTTAAAAGCATCCACACTGATGAACACTATTTTACCTGAACTATATAGCCAAGTGAGCAGAATACATATTCAGATATTGAGGCTGCATACAAGTGTCTAGAAGAAAGTTATGGTACCAAGCAGGAAGATATAATCCTTTATGGACAATCTGTTGGCAGTGGCCCAACTTTGGATCTTGCAGCTAGGTTGCCTCAATTAAGAGGTGTTGTTCTGCACAGTCCCATACTATCTGGCTTAAGGGTCATGTATCCAGTGAAGCGTACATACTGGTTTGACATATACAAGGTAGTATACTGTTTTTATTCCTAATTTTATATACGTGAATTCCTTGATCTAATGAGATGCTGCTTTCTGTTTATATGCAGAATATTGACAAAATTCCACTAGTTAATTGTCCAGTTCTCATAATTCATGTAAGTATGCTTGAAAAATATTTCTTATGCTATATAAATGCATCTGAAATTTAGTTGTATAGACTTAGCTTCTGGATTTGTTGCATTCTTCCTACATATTTGTGTGTGTTTGAGATGGAACCTGATTTTATTTACCGTAAATTGTTTGAAAATATAAATGGAGACAAGCTCCTTATAAACACAAATTGCAGAAAAATAAACCCAAAAGACCTCAATTCACCCTCAAAGCCAACAAAGCTAGGCTTCAACAGATCCCAAGAGATCCCAATTCCCCACTCGCCCAAATGCTCAATTTATGCCTACCTCACTCCTCACATTCCCTTCCTTTTATCCTAACTTTCAGAATATTCTAGAAAATTGTCTAACAAACTAACTAGCCTACTCATTACTTTTAGGCCCATCAGATTGTGTCTATGCTTTTCATGCATGCGGTGACATTTCCTTTTAGAGAATCTTCTTTGTATATGATTTCTCATGATTAAAACATTTGCTAGATTTTAGGCCATTTCATTATTATTACTGTGAATGAAATACCTTCTGTCTTTCATATTCTTCTTCTCACCTTTCCTTTATTACAACACTTTTCTGGAATGTTGTTTAACCAAAATGGATAAGCTGAGGTCAATACACTAAATCCAGTAATAGATTTTGGAATACGCGGTCATGCAGTTAGGGTGATAAGAGCATCTGAAGTCCCAACTACAATAGATAGTTAGTTAAAATATTTACATTGATAAGTATAGCGGGAGAGCTCGAAGCAGTAGTAAGTTGTTCCTATGTGACGGAAAGGTCACGGGTTCGAATCCGGAATTGCAAATATATAATGGTAAATCGGGGTTTAATTGGGGAGTGACTTTTTATTTACAATAGATAAGTCTCTTAAAAATCTTACAATTGCAGTTACCCATTATATCCTTCATGGAATTGTGTAGGGTACTTCAGATGAAGTTGTAGATTGCTCCCATGGTAAGCAACTCTGGGAACTGTGTAAAGAGAAGTATGAACCACTGTGGCTAAAAGGAGGTAACCACTGTGATTTGGAGCTCTTTCCTGAGTACATCAGGCATCTGAAGAAGTTTGTATCAACGGTTGAGAAATCTCCATCACAACGATACAGTTTCCGAAGGAGCACAGACCAGTTTGAGCAGCCTCGAAAGAGTACAGATATTTTTGAAGTAAGTAGAAAGAGCACTGATCGTAGAGAAAAACCAAGGAAGAGCACAGACAGGCCAGAAAAGCTGAAAAGTTTGCCTAATAATGCTGATATGTTAGAGAAATTGAGAATGTCTTTTGATCATAAGGAAAGGTCTCGGAGAAGTGTGGATTGTCATGAGAAGTCTCGAAAAAGCATTGATCATCAACTAGAAAAAGCAAGGAAGAGTGTTGACAGGCTTGACAGAATAAGGACTGGTTAATTCTTCTTATAATCAAATTATATTCATGCAAGGGTTGGTTTTCTGGGGCTATTTCTTTTTTCTTTTTTAAATTGGTCTATGGTTTTTGGAGTATGGCTTATGTCAGATATGATAACTATTAGCATTGAAGAAAGAGTTTGGTGTTACAGTGGGATTCACTTTTCATTCAGATGGTATGGACTCTCTCTTTTGTTCTCTCTCTGTTTCTTCTCTGTGATAATTCCTTATCCAGGAAATGCAGGCATTGACAAGTATTTGGTTTTTGAACATACATGAGGACGATGCACATCTTACAGTACACGACATGTGCGGGTTTTTGCACAAGTCACATATGACGGTGATGCGCAATTTGAATACGCACGGTTAGGATGCGTATCTTTTCATATTAGATTGATAAATAATTTGTCAAAAAAAAACTTAAACCGGTAAATAGTTCTAAAATTCGCATTAGAAGGGTAAAAAATCCCTGAACTTCTGATTTAGAAGTATCTTTTACATACGAGTTTGATGTTTTTTTATGTTATAGGAGATAAATTTCTTATTTATAAGTATCTTTTAAGGGAAATATTTTTTGGGTTCGTTTTTTCTGCAGTTACTGCAGATAAGTTATCTGCAACGAGTCCAATACGATATCGTTTTGGGGCGGAAATCATGGTATTTTTGTAATTTTAATTTATTTCAGGGTTATAATAGTCTTTATATTTATAATTTTTTAAGATTTCAATACCAAAACGACGTCGTTTTGAAAAAAATGCAGATAACTTATCTGCAGTAACTGCAGAAACATTTTTCCCATATTTTTTTTATGTTGTAGGAAAATAGTTTCCTCATATTGTAGAAATAAAATTATAAGTGAGACTCACAAGTAAGAGGAGAGAGAAAAAAGAGTGATGGGACCTAACTCTTTTTTGTGTGTGTAGGAAAGTTGCTTATCTCATGTAAAATGAGATAAATATAACCCATCTTTTAAATATGAGTTTGATATTTCATTTGTTGTAGGAGATAAAATTATTTTCTATATGCATATAAAAGTGTGTGAAACTCATATAAGAAGAAGAGAGAGAAAGAGAAAATAAGAGTCTCATATACTTTTATGTGTGTAGGAGATAAATTTATCTCTTATAACATAAGAAACATTAAACTATTTAAATATATACATAAATATATGGTGTTGAAACCTTGCCCTTTTTTAAAGAGAATTTTTCTTTTTATTTATGTGTCCGAGAAAATAAAACTAGTAAAATATTTTTTTTTCTTTAATTTTTGTTCTCCAAATCACAAAAATTAACTAATTTGATCAAATACAGGTTTTAGCCATGTTTGTTCCCAACATTAAAAATATAAAATAAAATAAATGCTATTATTCTTGCCCTTACCCAAATGTATAGTCTCCAACTTACAAAAGAGGGAGAAACAAAATTAAATTAAGAATAGGTAAATTAATCTCATACAAGACAGTTCTACAATCTCCATAATCTGTAAGCAGATGCACCAAATTTGGGGATTAAAAAAAAATAGTTCATTTAATGGATTCTCAAAAATGGAAAAGAGATTCAAATTACCTATTTATGTATTGTATTCAAGTCTATTGCACGTATTACTTGCACAACAAAAACTATTATTTTTTTTGATAAACCACGGACATTCTCCACGAAAGGTAGTCCTATTCGCGGCAGGTGTACAACAAAAACTATAAAACTTAATATGAACTTCAAATAAGAGTTAGCTTCCTTCACCTTCAAAGAGAACAGCTAGCAAACCTTCTGAGGATATGCTGATCCTTCAGTCATGCAAATGAGGTCTTTGTTGTCATCATTTTTATTTTTATTTTGAAAGAGAATGGAGCTGAGTCACCAAGGCCTTCCACGGTTGATGCAAAGCTAAAGCATGCTTTTTCCATGCTTAGGAGTGTACCTGTAAGTGTAATTTACATATTACTCATTTCTCGAACAAGAAATACTATTTTCCCTTAGCCTTTTGATTAAGATGACCTGTTTTTGTTATCGTTGATTTTAACTATGGCTGATGGTGGAAGGCGACCACTGCAGATTTCATGCACTGCTGAGAAGAGAGGAAACTTTTCTACCCATCCACGATCGCTTAGAACCTCATGAACCTCTTTTGCAGTTAGGACACCCTTTGTGCAACAAATTTAGATAAATTAGGACACAAGAATCTGTAACACGAATTTTGTTCTTCAAATATTACTTCATAAAGAATCTATTAGATTAATCCAAGAGATTTAATAAAAGGGAAAAATTATTCTTATATCACATGATATAAGTTTTCTTTCCTACACGTGCCATCTTTTTCTTTTTAGGTGGTAGAACCCACTAATTTATCTATATGACATGAGATAACTATCTCCTTTAACATGAGATTAATAAAACTCATAATAAAAACATGTCAAAGCCTAAAAAGTGAACATACTTCGATGATACGGGAATATTGAAGATGAGTGAATCTTTTATTAAAATTGAAAATAATAATAATATAATGTTGCTTAAATTTCATTTTTTTTAAGTAAAGGAGTACCTACTCCTCCTATGGTACTAAAGATATATTCATAAAAAAAACCTTCTTATGTGACGGGGTGAGATTTTTTTAACATGCATCCGGTGCATGTTTTATTGGATGTTCTTTCACCAAAAAAAAAAATTTCTCTTTTATTTATGCCCTTATCTTTTGTTTAAATCCTTTCTCAGTCTTTTTTTATTTTCATTTTTGGGCAAGTCCCACCAAGGCCGGGACTGCCAAAAATGAGCTCGACGGGGTGCTAGAGATATAATAAAAATTATTCATATATTTTTTTCTTGATTTAAATTTTCGGAAGAATTGATTTTGACATAATATCCAAACTTTTATGACCAAATAATGTAGAGTTCGATTATTGGTACCTTCATTCTTCTAATAAAAAAAAATTAAATTTCACAAAACGGGCATCTGCGAATGTCCACTCTTTAATAATTGATTTCGTGTAGTAAGTTTCATTTGTATACCTGCAATTTCTGGCCGTTAAGCAACTCTGCTTCAAGCTCATCAAAAGACCTACATAAAAAAGAAACACAAAATCAGATATAACTCAACCAAGTACTACGGACCAAATGGTGAAAAAAAAAAACCTCTTTCCTCCATTTTTTGCATAAGCCTCGGAAACTTTCCTATTTCTTCCACCCACTGCCACAAAAAAAAAAACATGGGTTTAATCAATACCAAAATAACCAATGAAAAGTAGTGTAAAGTCAATCAGTTTCCATACTGCATGTTGTGATCAAGTCAGCTACACCACAGCTCTCAAAAAATGTGTTGTCCTTCACTGATGGAAATAACAACTTTGAAAATGCCATCATCTCTTTCAGTCCAATTCGCATGATTGCAGCCTATGCACAAGTAGAGAACCAACATAAGAAACAAAATAATAAAAAATGGCAAATCCCAATCCATAAGGTTTCCCTACTTGCGAAGGATAGAGGTGAGAATCAATTGTACGCGACCTTATCCTTTTGTAAAGATGTTATAATTAGAAACAAAATCATGGGGGGTGAAAAAAAGGAATTTCAGAACATAAAACCCATCAAACTTACTTTTGTATTATTTCCCATCGCCAAGCCATCAACAAAACCTGTCCAATTTGTGTGCCATTTCATGATCATTTATAAAAACTATAAAAAGGATAGAAAAAAAATCCAGACATACTGTACTACAAACCTGCAGCTGTAGCCACAACATTTTTCAGAGTTCCACACAGTTCGACCCCTTCAACATCTTGAACCTATTAAATTATATACAATGCAAAAATCATAAGCATAAACCGTATCTAATATTTTACCAATTTACTAGTACTCAAGATTGGTACTCAAGATTGCATGATTTTACTAAGGATTGCATGATTCTATCATGACATATATATATATATATATATATATATATATATGGGGAAGGTTATATTTACAAACTTTTTGTTTACAAACTCTTACAAACTACACTATGTTTGGCCGGTCATACAATAATCAAGATTGTATTACCCGTAATATTTAGTGAAATTTGTAAGAAAAATTTGTAAATAGCTCTTTCCCTTATATATATATAGGATGTTTCTATCGGTTTATCAATTACAAAAAGTAATCTGATTCGAACACCGTCGGACCCATTATAGAAAAAATGACACTCCTAAGACCATTTTTTTCATTCCTGAGATTCGAACTCGATCTACTGCTCGATTACCATGACAATATTTCTTGATGTTATTGATTACATCAAGCAAATTCCCATAAGTCAATTTTTCATTCAGAACTATTTGTTTAAGTTTTTCGCAGGTTTGTTGCTCATCAAGAAAGTATGTACTGCACTCACAGCTGTAACAACGAAATAGGGAGTGCTAAACAACCGAACCCATCTCTCTGCAGCTTTTTTGTTTTGATGATATCCAACGGTTGCTTCACTAAACTTCTCCATGGCTATCTGCTCAAACAGTAGTTTACATTAGAACACCACCAAATAAATCAAGTTAAACAAGTGTATAATTTCCTCTAGCTACCTCATTTGCTATGTTGGCCCCCATCAAAACAGAACAATTGATTCCTAGAGTCTTGGAGATGACATTAGAGATCATGCATGGGCCTTCTTTCTTGACCTCCATCCCTTTGATTAGAGAGATAGCCTCTGCATCTGTCCTTATTTTCCCAACAAGCTTTTTGCATATTCCTTCTATGAATTGATGTGGGGTTACAAATACTAACATATTTGCACCCTTCACTGCATAATTAAACATTCAGAACAGATGACAAGTTGACCCCAAAAAACTGCCTAAAAGTATAAATGAACAAATTTAAATGCCTGTGCATTTTTCTGTCCGTTTATCTGTTTAAAATCTTGTTCTTTTGGTATAAGTTTGTTATTCATATTAACCAAATTACAATGTAGAGCACTGAAAATAAAAATTATAATGGGAAGAATTTAATTAGTACCTGCACTTTCAATGTCTGTATCTGCAACTACATTTTTACCAAGCTTGACACGAGGGAGATACTTGACATTTTCCTGCCAAAAAGAATAGTAATTATCTAATATTCGTTGAAAAAAAGAAGAAGAAAAAGATTGCATACACAATGGGAATGAAAAGCATGGCTAGTCCTTACATTGGTATTGTTGATGACTTCTGCGAGCATCTCCCCACCAGGTAACTTTTCCGCGAATACCCACATTCTCACTTCATCTGATTATATCATAGGAATTCATTAAAATGGGGAAATTAACATTCAAACGGAAATTTTGTTAGTTTACTGTTTAATGGAAAAAAAATGGACAAATTGCAGTACACAAGACTTTCGGACTTACAAAAATATGGATAAAGGTCGATTATAGATAGTCTCACTCTTACATTTTTACAAAAAAATTATTTTCTAAACTCGAACTCATGACTTTTTTGTCACGAGCGACAACCTACTTCCAAGCTCGCCCTCTACTTATCATTGAAAAATAAAATAAAGGGAAAAACTACTCTTATGTTACATGTGGTAACTTTCTCTCTTATACACCCTTGCCATTTTTATTTTTTTTTATTTTTTTCAGATGGTGGAGCTCACAAATTTATCTCTATGACATGAGATAACTTATCTCTTTTAACATGAGATTAATAAAACCCTAAAATAAAAGCATGTATGATTCTTTTGGCATGTGAAAATCACTTGTACTTTTACAATATGCGTCTCTAGCAGCACATGGGACATCATATTAGATACACTCAACCAAGAAACACATAATAAGTAAAGAGTACTCATTCACAATGGCTTTTGTTGACATGCATGCATGTCCAAAACGTAAAGAAAGTACAAGAATGCTGAAGAATATAAGTACCATCGAAGGAGCTGCACTTGAGGGTGTTCGAGGCAATAAGCTTTGCGGCAACACTGCCCCAATTGCCACTACCAATAACGGTGACCTTATTCATGATATTGTTGTTATGTATTTCCAACGCTAGGAGCACGAAGAAGAACAAGAGAGAGAGAGAGAGAGAGAGAGAGAGAGAGAGAGAGAGAGCGCACCAAAGTGTGGCACAGAAGAGAAGAAACATATAGAAGAGGAAGAGAGTGAATATATAAGGGAAGGAATTGGGGTGATTGAGTTGCCACACACGTTTCGAGAGAAACTACGTTCATGGAGTTAAATGCGGTTATTCCATAAATGTTTGCTACAGTGGAGCGTGGACAGGATTACGTGGTTTGTGATAAACCACCTGGTTATACTTAATTTGCTTCAACATTGTGAAATTTTCCATTATAGTCTATCAAATGCACTGCCATTGCAAAATTTATTAATTTCCTTTTTAATTTATATGTTTAAATCTGAAGTTCCGTGATGCCGAGGGTGCATAGAGAAAAAAGTTAGGAATTTCACAAAAGAGTAAGGGTCATAAACACCTTTTATATACTAATTACAAATTGATTCAAAATTCAAAAATTCAGAATCTTAAAAATAAGAAAACTTCTTAAAATAAACAAAACAGTAATTAGATTTTTAAAATAAATAAATAATTATAATTAAATCATTCAAAATACGTCTCAAATCTTTAATCTCAAATCACGTCAAATGTGTTGTTTTCCTTTTCTTCCGAAACAAATCACAATCACATCTGTTGCTTTATTGAGATTTGGATTCGATTGTAATTTGTTATATTTAAAATCATTTCCTTTTTCAACAATTGGATCATACTTATTGGACCCCACAACTCTAGACAATTACGAGATTCTCGAATCAATGGTTGGATCATATATAATAGACCAACTGTAAATACATGATTCTATTCTTTTGGCTAATTCATTGTTATTAATAGGGGCGAATTAGCAATATACCTTCATGATGCATAATCATAATGAAAAATAAAAAATAATCAAGTTTTATTCTAACGCACAGATAACTTTTTACGTTATTAATTACTTAATCATTCATTACTATATTATTTTAAGAATGTGGCTTTGGGGGTATTTTTATTAAAACTTTTTCAATGATGTGGTAATAACGCGTGATTAAATATATGCAAAGTTTTACTCAAATAGTATATTAAAATTAAATAAGAATAAATAATTTAAGGGTTCAATTTTCTACTAATCCAAAACGATGTTTTTTTGAGGCAGAAATCAAGGTATTTTTGTAATTACAATTTATTTCAAGGTTATGATAGTCTTTTTCATTATAAATTTTTAAATTTCAACCCAAAATTAATGATGTCGATTTGGGAGCGAATGTAGATAACTTATCTACATTCACTGTAGAAATACTAAAGCCATAATTTAAACTACATATTATGATGATGAATAATTTTTTCGTATCTTAAAGGTTATTTTTTAATCTAATTATAAATTTATGGGTATGGTGTTTGTCATTTAAAATGACATAAGTTATGTCATTTTAAGAGAGAGATAGACACAGAAAAATGAAAATCATGGGAGAAAAAGTGAGCGGTTTTTTTAATTTAAAATTTAAATAAAAAAAATTGTGTGTCTGTCTCTCTCTTACACTACTAAAAAAAGCTCAATTTTCAACGGAATTTTTCCGTTGGAAATTATGAAAATTCCGTTGAAAAATCATTTTTTGACGAAATTTTCGACGAAATTCTGTTGTTGGATAACCCTTCGTCGAAAGTCAACGAATTTTTTTTTTCCGTTGGAAGCCTTACTTCCCCGTCAATAAATAAAGTCATGAAATAATATTAAAGTAATAAATTTCGTCGAAAATTTCAACGGAAAATATATCCATCAAAAAAATCTGTCTCAATTTGCAACAGAAATTAACAAAAATTCCATTGAAATTTTTGACAAAATTAATTTTCGTTGAAAATTCCTTCACAATTTTCGACGGAATTTAACTATAATTCCATCGATAATTGCAACAGAAAAAATCTTCGTGAAAAAATTCCGTTGTGAAATTCAATGGAATTTATCTACAATTTCGTCTATACTTTCAACGAAAAATAATTATGTCGAAAAGTTCCGTTTTAGTTTCCAACGGAATTTTTCTATAATTCCGGTGAAAATTTCAATGAAATTAAATTCCGTCAAAAGTTTCGACAGAAAATTTCTGTTGCATTTTTAGACGAAAAAAAATTCCATATGAATTTTCAACAAAAAACAATGCCGTTGCAATTTTCAACGGAAAATTTCCGTTGAAATTTTAAACGGAATATTATTCCGTTGTAAATATCAACAGAATTTGTTGTCCGTCGTTATTTTTCGATTAAAGATAATTATGTGATATATTTTTGACAGAAAATTTCAACGGAATTTAATTTCCGTTAAAAATTTTTACGAAATTTATTTTTCGTTGAAAATTTCAGTCTCAAAATTCAACGGAAATATTTTCCGTCTCTATTTCCAACAGAATTGAATTTTCGTCAAAAAATCCGTTACTATTTTTGACGGAATATTTTTTGTTGATAAATTCCGTTGATAATAGAGCTTTTTTAGTAGTGTTAAAACAACATAACCTTATGTCATTTAAAATGACAAACACTTTTTCCTAAATTTATAATGCCATTTGGGCAGGGAGTGAGACCACTACAATAACCATTCTCAGCGAGGTTGTCCCTTAACGATTGATGTTCGTAATATATGACAAAGCAGTTAATGGCACTGAGACTGGTTGATTCCCATGACTTTTCAGTTGTTAATGTAGGGTTAGCATTCGCTTGTCCTCTGAATATATGCTTTGAGTACTGAAACATGAAAGGAAGGATGAATATGCGGGTAACTATTGAGCTGAGGACTTTCTAAACTAGAAATGGGCCAAAATAATGCTTGCCCAATTATGGTTAATTTCCAGGACGAGCAACTTTCATTTAACATTAGGGTGTAACTTAATGAGAACTAAATCACTGACTAAAAGTGTATCAGCTTACAACTTCATTAGATTTTGAGCCTATATAGACGCCTTTTTAGGCTTGCCAATAACTCATTTTGCTGAGTTAAAATGGTGTTCATTGCTTCAATCTGAACAAAGCCCGTCCGATATTGTTGGAGCCTTGTCATAGAAGGTGTAACGCCTCATGCCGACTCGGTCTGTTACCCTCTATCGTACCAAGCGCAGTGCATAAACAACTTATGTTACCATCCCAATGTTCTTAAATTATTACATGTTTTAGGCCATCCTAAGCTTTCTATTGATGCATACTTTGCAAATTTCTAAGTACTATGACTCTGGTCAGAGGGGTCCAAAGGGAACCCGTAGCAGGGACCACCACCAAATAGGCTAAGTTAAATCATCTATATCAAGTGGATTCGACATCATGTTACAAACTAAAATTTTAAAGCATTGGATTCATGGTACATCCACTTATATATATTCATTTTACTTAATTAATTACCAACCAATGTGGGACTAACCCAACAATACTAACTACTAACTAGGTGAACAACTGAACATCACTATTGTTGTCTAGTAGACTAGATTGTAGCAGAACAACCAACCTTATAAAAAAAAAAATAGGGAACAACGCACTTACCCTCAATTCTAAGATTTTGGTATGTTAGGGGACATTTGGTTCAGAGAAAAAAAAATTTACTAGGAAAATAGAATTACTAGAAATATTATGGGAAAGGGATTTTAGTGGAAAAGTTTGAAAAAAGTTGTTTGGTACGCTGAAATATTACTGAGAAAATTGGGTTAAATTTTATGAGTGTATGTTTAGTTGAAGGTAAAAAATTAATCAAAAATACTAAAATACCCATTTTTTAAAGTTTTTGAATATGAATTACTGTAAAGTAACAATGCAATGTGTTGGACATTTGTGTAAAGTTTGAATATATGTTGCCATATTTACCCAGATAAATACAAAATACCACCTCCAAGTTGTCTTTCTCAACAGTGACTTGGCTTCAATTTTAACAAGCATTTATAAAACGCTATGCAAATACCAAAGCTGGGGAAATGTTTCAAATCTCTCTACCAAGCTCCAAAACAAGAACGGATTTGCCAAAGTATGTCGCTTAATAAAATCTCTTTACAGGTTAAAACAAACTCCAAAACAATGACATGCAAAATTTGACAAAGTTATGTTATCAAATGGATTTCGAATTAATGAATGCGACAAATGTGTCTATGTTCGAAATACTGAAAAAGGATTTTCCATTGTCTGTCTTTATGTAGACGACATGTTGATCATGGGTAGTAATAATCAAATGATCAAAGCTACTAAACAATTACTTAAAAGTAAATTCGATATGAAAGATATAGGGATAGCAGACGTTATCCTAGGTATTAAAATCCATAGAACATCTGGAGGGTTGGCCTTATCATGTAACAGCCCCAAACCCTGTAGCATGATATTGTCCGCTTTGCCCTCGGGCTCACGGTTTTGTTTCTTGGGACACCCCACAAAAGGCCTCACACTAGAAGAGGTATCCACACCCTTATAAGGCATGCTTCGTTCCCCTCTCCAACCGATGTGGGACATTACATCCTCCCCCACTGGGAATACAGCGTCCCCGCTGTACACACCGGTCCAGGGCCAGGCTCTGATACCAAATGTAACAGCCTCAAACCCTGTAGCATGATATTGTCCGCTTTGCCCTCGGGCTCACAGTTTTGTTTCTTGGGACACCCCACAAAATGCCTCACACTAGAAGAGGTATCCACACCCTTATAAGGCATGCTTCGTTCCCCTCTCCAACCGATGTGGGACATTACATATCACATGCTCACTATATAGCTAAAATTCTTGAGAAATTCAAAAGTTTGAATATAACCCCTATGAAGAACCTCGTAGATTCTAATCTTAGTTTATTAAAGAACACTAGTAAAGTTACAATACAAAAGTTATATGCTCAAGTGTTGGGAAGCCTTATGTATGTTACGAACTGCACCAGACCTGATATTGCTTATGCAATAAGTCTGTTAAGTCGCTTTACTAGTAATCCAAATGAAAATCATTGGAAAGCTATGGTAAGAGTTTTGGGA